CCTTCCAAACAATGAAAGCAGTCAGACGTTCGGACAGTAGAGAAACACACACGCATGCTAGTGCGCGCGTGCGCGCCTACAAAGTGAGCGCGGTACGGACCCACACGCGCGGAGATCGAGCAGGCGAACCCCGGCGACCAATGATAACGGAGACACACACGAAAGTCAGACAACTCACTTTTATTAAGTATACAAAAGTATACAATGGAATTCGAGATTTTTGACAATTTCTTTAATACACCTAAAGATGAACAATTCAATTGGACTAAAAATGAAAGATATTACATTTCTGTTCATAGTGAATTTTATTCCGCATATCTGGATTGATTCCACTATCTATTATGAGCTTGCGAATGCAAAAAAGACCGGCCACTTACATGGCAATTTTTTTGAAATACTTCTTATTCTTCTGTCTGTTCCGTTTCTTGATGACATATAAGCTGAACGTGTAGTTTAAAAAAAGTACATTTCTACCTTACATTTCATAAGGCCTCCTTTACATCACCTTCACGGTAACATATATGGGAAAGTTTGCTTATGCGCTCGTATTTATCGGTGGAGGAAAAAAATTTTGTTAAACAAACTTATTACCGCACTTTATGACACTACCTTAACAGAATAGCAAAACATACGTTTTAAAACTGAAATTGTTGATTGTTTCTGAAACTAAGTGTGATTCCGTAAACTTGGCTTCAATTCCATTTGAGCAACTTCGGACAAAAATTTTCCAGTTCTGGAAGAGATAATTTTTCCACTTTTTTTTACTTATTTTGGAATTCTCCCATAGCACAATGCATATTAATAACAAATTTGGTTCTGTCATATCTTATAACATAGGAAATTTCTTCAATATAAACTTACTCACAAGTTAGCCAAAATTAATGCTTATTTCATTCCAAAACTTTAACAAAGAGGGAAGTTTTCCAAACTAAAGCCTTTTTAATTATAAAATACACTCAGTTGATCAAAATAACCTGTCCAAATATGTGCTTAACTACAAAGTTAAATTTTGCCATGAAATTTGCACGCAGGATTTGCCATACTGTATGTTTTTCAAGTAAGAAGCCAGATATAAATAATTGCCTTCTAGTTGGTAAGTCTGGATACGTTACTACAGTTTCCTCAAGCATCTTCTTCCTATTGTAATTGACTTGGCAGCTATATATCACATTTGTGAAACTTTGCCCAATGGCATGATTTCTAAACTAATATTAGACGTCTCCTTCTGAATCGCATCCTTTCTTTGATTGCTAGCCTTAGTATTTACTTTATCCTTAAGCTTCTCCGAGCTAAATTTATCAAATAGATGTAGCACAGTAATCTGCAAGACTGAATATCCAATTTACAGGGTAGGAGGCACCCCGCCGCTTGGGTACTGACGGATGCATCCCCATGGTTGCTCATAATATGGGGCTTTGGAATATTGCATACTTTCGGTAAAATAAAATTGAATTTACAAGGATTGTGATAATCATTCAGACAAAAGGGCGTGGTTCTTGCTGGTAGTCAGTAAGAAGCTCGCTGAAAAGCCAACACCTTGACCAGACAGAAATGTCTTGAGATAGGGCTGTAACTTAATCAGTATCGTGGTTCCATTTAGGTACCTTGCTCGAAATGAAAACAGACTTCGGAGTTTCGGTCAATACTTCAAGAAATAGGAATTATACTGTACTTTAGGGAAACCTTAACCTCACTACCTTCGGAACTTGCCTCGGCTTCGGAAAAAATGTATACATCTGATTTTGTAGTCATTCTTGTTTGTCCTATTTTACGTTAACCTTATATTTATTGTAAAGTAAAGGAAGACGCGATCTCTGGAACGTTTTGGAGATCACATCTTCCTCTTCTTTATACCAAAAACCTGGAGCAGGCACATTCGCTTCTATTCATTACATTTATTCTTGTTTTTGCATTAAAGTTGACCGGATATGGATCTTTAAATGCAAAAATACTCCCAATGAAATTGGCTGACAAGAATACACTCCAGGCCGCACAGCCTCCACAAAATACTTTCCGTGTCGTGCCAACAAAGGATACGTCTAGGATAGTTACTTTGCCAGCGGGAATGAACGAAATTCCATTCGAACTTCAGGTGCCCAAAGGGGCTATCCCAAGTTTCAATTACGCCTCGCCAAAGAGCGGTGCTAGTGTGATTAACAGGTAAGCTGCGACAAAGTGTATCACCCTAGAAAATGCTGTATTATCCTCCAGGAATTAAATAGACTCAAGAATAAAAATTGTAAAAAAGGGGCGAGACCAACTGGAACAGCGACTTGCCTGTCCATTTTTTTAGGTCGACCGTTAATGTAGGCAACACATTAAATCCTTTCTGCAACATATTACATTCTACTGATTACGGCCAATGAGCCAAAAAATGGTCATTTCATTCTCCTTCGCCTTTACCTGTAATGTTCAAGGTCCAAATTAACGGAGAGAAGGAACTCGAAGTCTAGAGCGCATTTGTGTGTATCAGGCAGATATTTCGCTGATGCAAACCTTGCTAAAACCTTACTCAGTTCACAAATTTTGAAACTTTTTCTGCTTTAAGCTATTCGGCCGAAGGTGTGGTCAAGCTTAATGGCAAGACTGCCCGAACTGATAGAGTAACTATTGACGTCAAGGGCTACGGTGATGCACAAGGTGGCCTTGGTCTCAATGATACTGACAGTGAAGTGGCAGTAAGTTTTTGTAATTATAATAATATACAAATAGTATATACTATTATTAATATAATGATATAAAAAGATGTCATTCGCTAAGTTAAGTTAGTGTTTTTAAAAACTGGCTTGCCTAGGAGTGCAGATGAAGCGTATACCAAATACCAAAGTACGCAGTAAATGGATCGTAAAATTCAGGATAATTTATTTTTCTTACATTGGAACGTACTAACAAACTCAGAGCTAGATAGATCTAAAGAAATAATTACACGTTTTCTATAAAAACTTTAACGGGTTGCAGGCAAATATATGCGTGGAAATGCATTTCACGTATATATAGTATAAAGTTCAGGATATCTTAATATTTTGGTCACAATTCTACTATTCGTCTGCCAATGCTCAAAGCAGGTCAGCATTTTATGAAAATGTTTAAAATGATTTCATTATAATAAGCAAGACCCGCGTCCATTATTTCGACAGTTGAATGCGAAATAATTAAGCAATCTCTGTTTCTGTTATTTGATCTAACCCCAGGTTGCTAAGAAGTACGTCACGAAAGGCAGTGGTATCGACTATGGCCTCGGTCAAAAGAAAGACAGCGAAAGCCGAAAATACCGTCATTTCGAAGCTAGTGTTGTGCAAAAGGTCGACTGTCCAGCGGTAGGAATCCACGACGAAACGGTACTCAAGCCGAATCTGAAGCCAAAAAAAACTGGGAAGTCATCTTCTGTCATAAGCAAATACAACGACGATCCAGCTAACACCTCCAAACTCCTGAATGAGAACTTTAAATTGGCGTTCGAAGAGCAAAATGCAGCTATCAACTCTGATCTGCCTTCTATAAAAACAAGAGACTTTTACAGCAGTTACAAACTCACTGTAAGATCCCCAGAATTAACGTTATTTGTCCACATACATACATAAGTTGCCCAAAAGCAGACGGAGCCCGTGACATAGATCATTGAAGACTGATTTTTATCCTTTTAGCTGGAGGCTGACGATGCTACCTACGAAGCACCAATTGCGCTTGTGGATGACCTCAAACAAGGCTGGATACCTACACACCTCACGCCACCCACATCCATCCAAAGAATATAAAGAAACACGGACTTAATGGAAAATCCGAATGTAGGACAGTATCAGTCTGTTCCATTCTTCGTATTCTACGATACATGTGTGCTTCCTCCGACGGACGCTTTATTTTTTTTAAATTTAGAAACATATAAATAGATCCATTTCTTATCTCGTCATCAATTTACATTTTCTGCAAATAAATTGAGTGTTGTGGCATTCCCCATGTCCGCAATACAACTAGGGTTAAAATTGTATCTAAGGTAGTGTGATTGCCTTGGACTAAACGGCTTATATGCATCGTCGATGGTAAATGAGCCTCAGCAGTAAGCAGTACTTAAATGCGAATAACCGGTCACTTTTCCGCTTTCCCGTACACTCCGAATAGTTAAAAACGGTAAAATACAAGTATATCACGGGCATGCCAATGTAATCAAAATGGCATTCCAGTTCACGCCCCACGTTGCCTCTTGGAGGGCGTTCAGTTATAAATGTACCCATACCGTGCTAAATAAATAACTATATATGTTCCCGAATGAATGAAAAAGTTCGCGTTCCAGGTATGGATAAGGAAGAAGACATGTCGAGCACCGGATCAATCGATTTATTGTCCTTAAGACGAACTCCTGTAAAAGTGCGAAAGCTCAGGACAATAAAGCAATTGATCCGGTGCTCGACATGTCTTCTTCCTTAAATATATATGTATTTACACGCTGAAAGATTCGGAGTCCAGATATGTTATCGCGTTCATCATCTCCCAAGGGTAAGGAAGAAGAAGAGGGGGCGGGTTCATGGACCAAATTATATTTGAACTGACGTTTCGAAAACCTTCTCGCTTCCGTCGTCAGGGTTTTGTGCTAGTGGAGTCTGGTGGTCGTGAGTTAGTCCGCCTTGCCGTCTACCTCAAATTACATCGGTGTTGGACATGTGAACTTTGACCTGCCCGTTCGTTG